TAGTACGGAGCATACGACGGTTAGTGGCTCTGTTCTACTGCGTGTTGTCAATCAAGCAGCTGGTGAGCTCGAGGATCGTCTGATGGACGATGTAGTCTACACGTCAAATACCAAGGTTAACTTGATTAGTATGGGATATCTGCAGACTACAGGCAACTACAGGCTGATGTGTTCTATGGACCAGAAGACGGCGTGGATGTCGAAACCAGGCACTATCCTAAAGTTTGAAATGCGAGATAACTTCTACCGGCTGCGAAGTGGAAAGGCGACCGGCGGGATGGTCATTTGGCTATGGCTAAGCAAGCTGTAGAAGACAAGAAGACGATGGAGCTCTTGCATCAGCGCTTTGGCCATCTACACATGGCTTTGCTCCAGGTGATGGCTGATAAGATAAATTTGGGGGTAAAACGCAACACGAAAGATCTGAGCGCCTACGAATGCATTGCCTGTGTTGTGAGCAAGACAAAATCCATGAGTCACAAACGTCTTCCAGTTCGCTCGACTAAACCACTTGAAACTCTGGCTATGGACATATGTACGACGAATGTGGAGACGGCAAGCAAGGCTACTATGCTCATGTTCATTGTGGATGTTGCTACGAGATACAAGTGGGCCTATCTACTCGAGAAGACGAGTCAAGCTACCTGGTTCATCTTGGAGCTGCTAAAGGAGCTGCAGACGCATCACAAAGACTACAAGGTATTGCATCTTCGGTCGGACCAAGGTGGTGAATTCGCTGGAGCAGAACTGCATGAGTACTACGTTGAACACGGCATCGTGCAGCAGTTCACGAACGCGTACTCTCCCAAAGAGAACGGGATCGCAGAAAGGACGAATGGCATTGTGCTGCCTCGTGTGCGAGCGCTACTGACAGCAATAAATCTACCGAACATGTTGTGGGGAGAAGCTTTGCTGCACATGGTGACAACGCTAAACATGCTACCTACCAAGATGTTGGGAATAACTTCGTCGCACGAGAAGCTGTATGAACGGAAGCCGCCCCTGAGTATGCTGCGAACCTGGGGTTGTATTGGGCATGTGCGAGTACCACCTGAGACAAGACAGAGAAAGGAAAAGCTTGAGCCACGGGCACAAATCTGTCTATTGCTCGGCTACAGCGACTCTACGAAGGGCTACAAGTTTCTAGACCTATTGACCTGTCCTGTGAAGACTGCGCAGAGCGAGAATTGCCGCTTTCACGAGGAGTTCACAGTAGATGGAGCCTATGTGAAGCAGCTACTGGAGAATGCGTACCTGAACACGCTGCACGTGTTGCCGGAGAAGCCACCTGTGGTGAGAATTAAGACGAGTATCGAGACCTACGCTACAGAGAATAGTGGTCCTGTGGCAATGAGCAAGGCAGGTGAACGTCAAGATGTTGAATTGGCTGTGGACGGAGAACAAACGTCCAGTGGGAAGGCAGATCATGATGACTCGTCGAGCGTCGAACAGCAAGATGTGGAGAAGTCTGCTGGCCCTCAGGTTGCACCTGAGAAGGGGCCTGAACCGGTGAAGGTGACAAAGAGACGCAAGCGCAAGGCGCGAAAGAAACCCGTGAAGGAAGACACTGGATTTGCAATCCAAGAACCTCCAGTCGAGTCATGTCTGAAGCGACCGAGAAGGACGCAGAAGGCAAACGTACGATTGAGCGACTACGTGGTGGGCCAAGTAATAGCGCATGGCATGGACGTGGACATTCCTACAACCTACAAGCAGCCACGGAAGAGTAAGTTCTGGACCCAGTGGCGGGCCGCGATGTTGGCATAGCTGGCGTCGCTGAAGAAGCACAAGACCTGGCGACTTGTACCGCGGAGAAAGGCGAAAGGTGTCAAGGTAATAACATGTCGATGGGTCTTCGCGGTGAAACGAGATGAGTGGACGTGTCAAGCGATTCAAAGCTCGTCTCGTCATCCACGGATTCAAGCAACAGTTCGGCATCAACTACAGTGAAACATATGCACCTGTGATTTGCTTTGAGACTATTTGTGCGGCCATCAACTTTGCTATGCAGCGAGGATGGGAGATACTCCAGTACAACTTGAAGACAGCGTTCCTGTACGGAGATCTCGACGAGATGATATAGCCGCCTGGGCTCCAAATTGATGGACCAAGCGCTGTATGCGAGCTATTGAAGAGCCTCTATGGATTGAAGCGGGTGCCCAATGTTTGGAACCGGACTCTACATGCGAAGCTGGTGACATTGGGCTTTAAGCGTACGGACTCGGACTATGGGCTGTATGCGTTGAAGGAAGAGGGTGAAGTTAAGCTGCTATAGACTGTCTACGTGGAGGACCTACTACTAATGGGACCCCGAGCCTGTGCGTCAAGATTGCAGCTGCACTGCAAGAAACCTTCGAGTTGACTACGATGGGTATTGTCAACACCAAGTATGGGTACTTGCTTGGTGTCGAGATCCTGATCGACAGACCAAGCCGACAGATTGTATACTGTCAGAAACAATATGTGCTGGAAGTACTTAAGCGGTTCCACTTGTCAGATTGCAGCGGATGTACTTCTCCTGAGGCTACTGTACTGTCTAAGGCTACTGCACCTGCGACAACAGACTATCTGCCGTACCATGAGCTAGTGGGTGCACTTCAGTACCTAGTGAGCGCGTCGAGGCCTGACATTGCGCATGCAACGAGACAACTTGGCAAGCTCCTGGCGTCTTACGATCACACACACTACGCACAAGCTAAGAGGGTACTTAGGTATCTAAAGGCTACGTGTGACTACGGGTTGGTGATGGGCGTACCTGAAGGAACTACTGCAGATGTATGCGGCTACTCAGATGCCAACTATGCGAATGATCCTGTGGACAGAAGAAGCATCAGCGGCTATGTGAACACGCTTGACGGTAACGTGATATCGTATGCATCAAGAAAGCAGAAGATTAACTCCCTGAGTACGTGCGAAGCGGAATATGTAGCGATGGCTGAAGCCACCAAGGACGTGCTGTTGCTTGCGGGCTTGTGTGAGGAACTGGCCTGGAAGCATCCAGTACCATTACTGCTGGGTGATAACGAGGGACCAATCTCGTTGACCACCAAGCCTGGAAAGCACTCCAAGTCTAAACACATCGACAACAAGTATCATATGCTGAGACGAGACGTGGAGCTTAAACTGTTCATCATACAGCACATTGAGACCGAGCAGATGATCGCGGACATCATGACCAAGCCACTTGCGGTGGTGAAGTTCACTCAATTCCGTCAAGAAAGGAAGGTGTTACCAGTGGTTTCCTCGGACGATACTACTACCCCTACGGATCCTGCGGCTTCTACTACGGCTGCTATTGCTGCGGCGACTGCTATTGCTGCAATCCGAACGGACTAGTCAGAGATTGAACTCTGTCCGATTGCGAAGGACTAGGACAAACACAAGAAGAGTGAGCGATTACGTTGGACAAGCATGACAGCTACAGGGTGTTTAGTACGATGGTGTGCTGAGAAAGCCAAGAAGGTTGCACCTGTCTTGCGTAGTTCTACTACGATACTACACGTACTACACCTGTGTCGACAACGGACACTCCGACTTTGGATGTGAAGGCAAGTGCTATGGATGAGGACGGTGTTGACTGTGGCATGCTGTTTGCTGTACGAACTACTGTGCTGCTGAACTACGACTTTGAACTATGGGGCAGCGACTTCAACCTGTGAAGTCTTGTGTGTGATCGCGTCAATCAGGGCGCTGTATTGCCGAGATCAAGTGGGAGTGTGAGATGCCAGCCCCTGTGTGAAGAGATCAGCACCAGCAGTACATACAAGTGGACTGTCAGTGCCCGGCATTGACACTGACAGCCGATCCTGCATCCTATCGTACGCCTGTTGCTGCAGCCTGCGGCTGCGTACTTACCGACGGGCCACGTGCGGATGCGTGCGGTTATACCAAGTTTACTATGATCAATGGACAAGAGCGACCGTGCCGCCGTGCTGCTCACGACGACACTGACTTAGGTAAAGTATGGTTTATATTAGTTTATGTATCGAATAGAACTTGCGGAGAGGCGTACTGGCTTGCGTGAGGCTTACTCTCTCTCTCTCACAACTCAATTTGCGGTTCAGCGAACCCCAGAGAGAAGAGCAAGCCCACACCAGTACTGCAGCCCTGTCGTGGCCTTTTGCTCGGCACTCACTGTGTTTACGTACCTCTTTTGACTGCTAATGGCACCTACGCTAAGAAGTGACCTACGCTTATAGAGCAGTCCAGTGACGCGCCCTGCGTCACCTCAACTCCAATCCATTTTTTGGCTGGCAATGCTGCCGCGCTCACTATCGTCGGCTTCAATTGCGCTATCGCTAGCTATGCTGTCGCACTGATTCTCATCGTCTTCGTTTTCACTTTGAACAGGATGCAGAGGAACTCTCCTCGCTCGTTTTTGTTTTTCGTCAGATGTATCCCTTTCAACGCCGTCACAATCAGCCGCATCATTGTCGTGATCACTTTGGGGGATGAGCAGTAGTATACCTGGTGCGCTTTTTGGCACTGGTACTTGTGACGCCGGCCGAAGGGTCGCTCATAGCTGGCCTTTTATTGGACGTGGTAATTGGGAATTTTAGAGGTTCATGATCTTGGCGAGTGCACTTTTGACTGGTTGCTGAATTCTTTCAGGATGTGCTGAGACAGAGGCTGGTTGCTTGTATCGGTTTATAAAAAACTCTGACCCAAGAGTGCTGGATTTTATCCTTGTTTTTAGCGAACGCTTGGAACTTTTGACAATAGGCTAAAACCGCCGCATGACTAAGCACCTCTCCTTCGCTTAGGCTGTTGTCGAAGTACTCCAACACTTTCAAGTCCGCGCCCGCCACCCATTTCTCGCATGCGGTCTCCCACATTAGTGGTTGTCAGACTTGGATACAAGTCGTGTTTCCAAGGATGGATTGACAACCTCATTGGGCAAAAATGTCTTGGATTCCAAGCGATCTTACCCAAGCTTTTTTTCTTTCAAGAGACGGCTTGGAATCCAAGAGGCTCAGATTCAAAAGCGCAGGAAGATCTCAATGCGCGGGAAGGCAGCGCGCGTCAAGAGGAAGCCCACCTTCTGGGATCGCGATGGAGTGAATGACGGCAAGTCTTCGCTGCAGGTCGTGTTGGACTGGCTGTCCACTGAGACGAACTACAATAAGTGGCGGGGCAGTGATCGCAACAGCGGCAGCACCAAAGAAGCTCTGCTAAAAGAAATCGCAGCCGAACTGAGCGCCGTTGGATAACGCATCGCGCCACTGCAGACGCTCGTGAGATAATAAACACGATTGAGAAGCAATTTCGGGAGGCAGTTGACTTTCAGGCGCAAAATGGTGCCGGTATCACGAGTGAATCAACCCTTCGCGGCGAGATTCTGAAGCGATGCTCCTACTACTACCAAATTACTGCTGTGTTCGAAGCTCGACCCTCCGCCCGCCCTCGTGTTACGTCCGACGACATCGACGACAATGCGGACGCTTCTGATAGAGGAAGTGCGATTGTTCAACGAGGAGAGATGCGCCCGCTGGTCTTGGACGACGAAGTGGATTTAAAGCGACTAAAGGCAGATCCGGTGGATAAGCTGCTGGCCCAACAGAGCAAGGCGTGCAAACTGAGAGCGGACAAGGCCAGCCGTATGCTCCAGCTTCACGAGAGCGAGTTAAAACTCAAGCAACGTGAGGTCCAGCTCAAGGAAGACAGAAACGAGCGCGAGAGTGCTCAAGCCGATGTTGAGTTAGCCCTAAAACGGGTGCAACTTGAAGCTGCGCAGCGAGAAGCAGTTGTGCAGCTTCTGCTTGCACGCAAGAAGCTGCTGGACGCTGGAGTCTCTGTTGTTAAAGCTGACCGTCTGCTACCTCCCTCGGCGTAGCTCAAGTCCGCTGGCCATCATGAAGATGGGAGCTAAAATGCTATGTCAAATGCTAATCCGCTCAAAAATTCACGCCGGTCTTCTGCTGTTTTGCCACGGGAGCCAAATATTCATCTTCGTCTTCACCGTCAAAGTCAATTCTAGGTTCAGGCTCAATCCAGTCATCAGGGACGGGATCCGCAATAGCCATATTATGAAGAATCATACACGTCCGAATCAACTTGATTGTGGCTTTGATTGCTGCTTTTGTTCGCAGGGAAGATCGAATTTTTCTTAGCAGAAGGAACCGGCCTTTGAGCATTCCAATGCAATGTTCGACACGGATGCGGACTTTGGCCAGACACTTGGTGAACTGGATCTTCTTCACACTGAGTTGAACATCAGCTGATGTTTTGAAAGCGGGAACCAACACATTTGGCGTCTGGTACGCAGAATCACCGAGTAGATATTGATCGTGACCAAAATATCGATCTTTGTTCAGCGCTACCTTGCAATTTCTCCAAACACGGTTGTCATAAGAGGAACCCGACCACCCCACGTTTTCGTAGCAAATACGAGACTGGTCGTCACAGATCACCAGGCCATTAATCGCGTAGGACGCTTTGCGCGAAAAGTAATCTTCTCCATGGTCTTGAGGACGTGTCAACAGCGGGAAGAGAGTACCATCAATAAAACCAATACAATGTGGAAAGCTAGAAGTCTTCTCAATTCTTGCAGAAATCTCCCGACGCTCTAATTCGTCTGGCCACATGATCACGTTGCTGACCAAGCTATTCAGCGCCCGTATACACCGCTTAGCCAGCAGACTTTCCGCTGTATGTCCACCAACCGAGAGAAAGTCAGCCGAACGTCCTTCGCCGTCTGTAGACCCCAGGATCTTAAGGAGACACAGTAGATGCAGCTCAACGCACATCTTTGGCAGCTTCCCGAGGATACTCTTGAACTTGGCGTGGTCTGAAATGAGGTTGAGCACTGGTCGGAAGTATGGTCGAGAGAGCTTATATTGAAGCTTGAATTTTGAATCCGGCATGCTGGTGAGGTAGAAATATACTCTAGAGGGGGTCCGCGGAACTCGATGGCGCGGAGTAAGGTACCTCTTTTCCTTCAGCACGAAGTTCAGAGCTGCAAGTTCGTCTTGGGCTTCATCTGCCCTGGAGTCGGCATCCTTGTCAGCTAGCTCCGCTGTCCAGACCCGCCGGACAGCACTTAGCACTCTCCTCTTCCGACTTTTGGTTGGCATCTTGCCGTCTGAGCTGGAAGGTCACCCAGCATGTATCCAACAAGCGCAGTCAGAGTTGGAGAGCTGGCATTGGCTAAAAGTAAAGCTTGGAGTCGTGGCTTCTATCCAAGTCTGACAACCACTATTATCGGTGGCATGGATGTGATTCATCTGGGGGTCGGAATACAGTTTGCGCCAGCCGAGGAGCGCGCCTTTCTTCACCTTGAGCTCCCTAACTGCATCCTTAACACTCCACTCAGGGTGTGCCTGCCAGTTACTCAGCTTGTTTGTCTTCTCGGCAATAGTGATCTGCCCTGTCTTCCGCTTAGACAATCTGTAGCGCCGATGGAAGAGGGGAGCGAGGGGGAGAGATCTTCATAGGTGAGGCTACGCGCTGTAATTAATCAACGTCAGCCCTTAATTCTGTTTTCTAAGGTTGAGGACACATTTTAGAGCAGCCCATGTTATTTCGCGGTGAATTACTAAACATCATTGTCGAGTTAATATAAAATTCGATAGAGAATAAGTCAACTGGTCGTGTTAATCTGAACCAAGGTTTTAGAATAAGTCGACCGGTTGAGTTATTCTAGATCATGACTTTAGAATAAATCGACTAGTCGTGTTAATCTAAACCATGGCTTCACATTATCTCGACCAGTCGAGTTAATCCAAATCATGGCTTTAGAATGAGTCGACCGATCGGGGTGTTAAATAATTCTAAGATGGGAAGACAAATTGTAAGTTTTGGTCGAGTTAAATTAGATTCAATGCGAAGCGAGTTAGATCGACCCGTTCACGTGCAGGTGTGGACTCAACATAGACTACACTTAAGCAAGAAAGTCCTTCACACGATCGAGAGCAGGATCCTGGATACTGCCGATGTTGACACGAGCAACATAGGCACTTATGAGGTTGTTCAACTTGCCTTCACGATGAAGCTTTTGGAGCTGCGTCAATACAGATGAGCGGTTCCTGCTTTTAATCTTGTGGGTGTTGAAGACGCTATACAAGCTTCGTTCGGTCTCCTTGCCGACGAGCATCACCTGTTCACAATAAAAAAATAGATGACGGGTCGAGCGTAAGCCCATTCGCCAAGAACAACTTCACATAGCTGGTGATCAGCTTGTACGTCGATTTGTCTTGGCGGTTTGAGCGCACATATCAGAGCCGCGGTTGATTAGCATAACGCTCGTACCAAACCGCAGCAGGTGACGTTGGAACAGCTTTTGAACCGCATGATTTTCGCTTACGCGCGGTTTTAGCGTCTGACATCTCTGGTGCACTGGATGGCGGGGCCTCCGACGATATGCTGCAAAATTCCAATCACAGCTGGACGCTTATCGCTTCTATAATTCACCCACTCGCTTTGCTAGGTCTTGCTATAATCCAACTAGCTCGGCAATAACGCAATTTTGATGGTTGATCAGCCTTTCTTCTCTCGTGATCACTTCGCCAGTTGAAATGGGTGTCTTTTGCTCATTTGAAAATCCTGCATCATTCATATAGCATGCAGTGGGCAAGTGATGAAGCTGGTTTTGTCCGGAAAAAGAGAAATACATTGTTCCTCTAATATTTTCACTCGAGTAAGCCAAGCAAAAATAAATCCGTCAGCGGCCACGGACAGACTGCTTTTTGGAACAAAGCCAAGATCAGAGGCACGACCAAATGTATACCACATCAGGGTCAGCAGTGCCGCATCTTAACAGTCATTTGCGCTTGTAGCATCAAAGTACAGTCCGTCTATGAGGATGCGCAGATCTCGCTTTGAGCACGCTGGTGCCTTCTTGATCAACCCACTCTCCTGCCTTGAGATGCAGTGAAGCCCTAGCATCTGTGCTATCTTGAAAAGCTTTGTTTCTATAGCAGCACGGGTTTTTTGGATAGCCATCAAGCAGCCAGTTCTTTACTTGCCTGAAGTACGCCATTACCGAGTTTCTAGCTAAAGGTTTTCCCTCTCTGTTATCAAGGAATGCCAGATGAGCCGCAAAGCGGTCTAGCAGTTTGACGAACACAGCACTAGTTTCATCACCAAGGAGCGTCGAAGCTACCAAACCCATAGCCACGCCCTCGTAGGCTAGATAGCGATGAAAAGCGTTGATTGCGGTGGTCTTAGCGTGCTGTGAGTTGGCAGGAGCTAGGTCGTCAAGGCTCATTTGCTTCGTCTTGATCTCTTTGCTTGTTTGGCCTCGAATTCTGGAATGTCGCTGCCTCTACAGCGCACTATTTCTTACAGTAATTTGTCGGCACGTAAGTGATTATGCTCGTGCTATCTACCTAGCATTAGGGTCCAATTTCAACTACTGAGTACCTCGGTATTCGATAGTAATTTCCAGGCACCTCCTAGATTTAGTAATACAGTAAGCAGATGACAAAAAACTCAGTAAACTCCTACGCTACTCCAGGAAGTCCAAACTTACCAGATGAATTACGAAATCAGACATGTATTGATCAGTATGGACATGATCACGTGGGTACAGATCAGTCGAAAAGTGGTAAGACCAAAGTTCTAGAAAGTCAGGGACTACCAAACACAGTGCTGCATGGAGATCCTACTTGACTTGAACTGACGCTGGTTCTTCGAGTGTGACTTTGATGAGACGCTATTCTCCGCCGTGGGGCATTTCTAGTGCTCAGCTGCAAACGCGCTCTTCGGTTGTCTCTGTACTCTTCGCGTTTTCGTTTTTTTGCCGCCTCAATTTCCTCACCTATCTCCACAAGCCGAGCATTATGGCGTAAATGTATATCGCCTTCCTCACGACGCAACGGAGCGCAATGGACACTGTAGTTCGTCAAAGCCAGACACAACCTGAAAAATCGGTTGTAAGAGCCTCTGTCCCAGGTCCACTGATGCGAAATAGCCCCCCAACACGTCTTCATTCTCCCAAAATAATTCTCGACAACGACTCGGTCGTGTGTGATTTTGTCATTTTGTTCTCGCTCGTCGGGGGTAAGCGTTTGCTGACCTCTGGCTTTCTTCTTGGGTTGTATTGCTCGAAACTCGTCTCCCAGTCCTTGATACCCTTTGTCAACTAGTACAGCCCAAAATCCTTCGAACTTGTCCATACCAGGACCGACATCGCTGATAACCCCTTCATCTTGTTGCTTTCTCATCGTAAATTTATGAAATTTAGCATTCCCTCTGAACATGGCGATGTCAGAAACCCCGCCAGACTCAAACGCCGTGCAATTAATTGCCACACCTGTTGGGAGCACCGAAACCTCCACTTTATGGCCGTAGAGTTTGTGCTTCCCGCTAAAATACTTCATTACCTCATGGAAGTTCCCAGTGGGGCGAGCTGCGTGTTGGAAGGTAACATCAGTTGCATAGCGGGCACTCGGGTAACTCTCAAAGGCGCGCCCACTAACAGTTATCTTCTTCATCGACCAGAGCACTTCAGGCTCTTTCACTAGGTGCGCGTACAGGAAGGGCTCGTACATGTCAACGTGCTTCTTTATCATCTTCTGAAACCCCGAGGCATCCATGTCAAACATGGTTGATACTGTTTCCCAGCTCCCACAATGTTTTAGCGCAGCTAGCGTCACGAAAAGTATGTCCTTCGGAGACGTCTTACACTTTTTGTCTCTACCGACGCCCCAATTTGATAAGACACGGTCTTCCGAGAGATCCCAAAGCTTTTCAAACTCAATGGGCGCAAAGTTGTACATTTGAAGCACACGATCGGGGCCTTGCACGCGTAGACACCGGTCATGTACAGGCGAAGCGATAGATAACTCAGCGTCAGAATCGCCGTGTCGGTCTGCTTCAATCTCCATTCGGTTCAGAGCTCGAGACCGAACATCCTCGGCCACAAATAACGCGTCCCAACGCGAGCGAGCATCCTCATCTTCGTCGACTTGTGTGCGTACTGTGCGGTTTCTTGACGGAGCCAGGGTGACAGTCCTTCCCTCAGTTAAATCGGAAATGAGGCTATTCTATTGGATTTTACTGAGTAGCCGGGAGAGTACAGGCTGCGGCGGAGGGTGTAATACATACGCTACTTTCACATTGTAACTAGCAGTTGTAGAGTAAAGATGCGTTGCACAGTATTCTCTCGGCCACATGCTCAAATCAAATTGAGCACCAGCCGTTCTGGATTGCGCTGGTGATACTGCTGGTTCGGCAGTATTACCACATTAGCTCTATTGTTTTGGTAAGCTGGGCTTACAAATTCTAAGCGATTTACCGACTTATCTGTCGGCTAATCGTCGGTTCCACCTTACCCTACCTCTAGCAAGTATTACTGGGCAAAATACTTCTCAGCTGCTCTTACAGTGTACAGAGCAGGGATCATGCTTAGTTTGCTTCCAGACCGTCGACACCGTGATGCTTACCGTATCGATTTATTTTTCGATCTTGCACACAGGACTCTCTCTGAGTGAACCGAGGGCTCACAAACGAACTCTTTCGGTCAGGTTCTAGAACAGCAGTAGGCTTTATGACTGACGAGTATTTGCTCTAGTATATCACTGTGACACAGAAAAAGACGATTGAGATGGAGGGCTGCAAACGCTTGCAGTTGTTTAGTGTCGATAGTGCGAAATCAAGGTATTTGCTCTTGTTCTCTACCGATAGCCTCGTCCACACCGTGCGTCTAATGAACCTGCAGCCTGTAGCACTAGATTAATGCGCTCAGCAGTGCCAACACACGACGCCAACCTTGCCGTCACTCTCACAACTCCATCTCCCTAACGGCTGATTAGTAATACGTTTAGGTAGTCAACGCTAACGACATCTGGTTGGTGGATTTAAACAGATTACGCATTCTCTGATCATTTTATATTGTATTATTAATAACTAAAATTAAGTTGATATTTAATAATATCATTTAGTCTCAGAAGAAAATACTAGGTGACATTTTTAAATTAGCTGGTCTACAGGTGATATTATCACTATATTAACTTCACCGATTTTGGAGTTACCTTTAGGTAAGAAACGTCCTTAAGATGGAAAAAGCATATAATATCATCTAGCATCTAATATTTTTCAAAACGTCAAGCTTATATTATAATATTATGTAAACTTTGAAACTCTGAGCTACTACTGCTATTTAGTGCCGAAAATAGTATTGTTACAATAAAATATCGAATAATATTAATTACCATTGGGTCCTGCTTGCACAGCCCCTTTTCTATTAATAGTATAAGTACGTACCTTTTTGGTGCCTGGGTACCATTAAGTACAATAATATTCCTATTAGAAGTCCCCAAAATCCTGTTTGGGCATCACTTTAGTAAAGGGGAAGCAATTCGCTCGTTCAGGTGCGTTCTTCGTCGACCTCCTACGGTGGCTACAGCGCTTCTTTTGCTCACTCTGTTGGCGTATACGCTTCCTCTGGGTCTAGCAGTCCAGCATCTATGTTTTTCGCTTCGTTGTACCGCTCCTGACGTCCACAATCTTGTCTTCTTTAGGCTATCGGGTGTCATGGCCTCCGCAGGCTTCACGTCGTCCGCCAATGGACGCACAGGCTTCAATCGCAAGCAAGAGCGCAGTAACAGCGGCTTTGGCCTTAAATTGGGCGCCAAGAAGAAGAAAATGACCATTAAACCGTTCAAAGTCACTCCAAAGTTGCCCGAAGCGTTCGAACACGACACCTGGACCAAACTGGAGGCTGCTGTACACGCCGTACACGGCAAACAGATGTCTACGCTAAGTAGAGAAGAGCTCTACCGCTCCGTGGAGGACATGTGCACGTGGAAGATGGCTGCCAGACTCTACACGAGGCTAGAAGAGACGTGCTCGCTTCATATCCGCGAAAGAGTCGAAGATCTCGCACAATACACTGGCGGAGACATGAATCTGTTCCTGGAGGCCGTGCACCGACTCTGGGAGGACCATTGTGAGGACATGCTCGTGATTCGCACCATTTTTCTCTACTTGGACCGCACCTACGTCATGCAGACGCCCCATATCGCCTCCATTTGGGACATGGGGCTCAATTTGGTGCGTGACAATCTGGTGCAACGTCGAAGCCTGGAGACCAAACTCATTGACGCATTATTGGAGCTCGTGGAGCACGAACGCAAGGGAGAAGCCATCAACCGCAGCTACCTGTACAATCTGCTACGTATGTTGCTGTCTTTGCACTTGTATCACGCAGATTTCGAGACACCTTTCTTGATGGCTTCAGAGAGGTTTTATCTGCAAGAAGGAGCCGCCAAAGTCGAGTGTGTGAGTGTCCAGCAGTTCTTAGTGCACGCGGAGAAGCGTCTACATGAGGAGACGGAGCGTGTGAATCACTATTTGGACGCGTCGACCAAGAAACAACTCGTGTCGGTGGTCGAAAACAAGCTGCTGAAGCCTCATGTGGCTACATTGCTGGAGCGAGGCTTCGAAACGTTGATGGAGGAAGGCAGACTCGACGATTTGAAGCGCATGTACGCGCTCTTCGCACGTGTGGAGGCGATTAATGACCTCAAGACGGCGTTCTCGAGTTATATCCAGAAGAACGTGTCCAAGTTGGTGATGGACGATCAACAGGAGAAGACGTTTGTGGAGAAAATACTCAAGCTGAAGGCGGATTTGGACGCTGTACTGAGCGACTCGTTCCAGGCGAACTCGAAGTTTGCGTTCGCTATGAAATCAGCCATGGAGAATGCCATTAACGTGCGAGCGAATCGTCCTGCTGAGCTGGTTGCCAAGTTTGTGGATTCCAAGCTTCGAACGGGGAACAAAGGAGGCTCGGAGGCGGAAGTGGAGAGTCTGCTGGACCGCGTAATGGTCATCTTTCGATACATCCAAGGCAAAGACGTGTTCGAGGCTTTTTACAAGAAAGACCTGGCTAAACGCTTGCTGGTTGGGAAGAGCGCTTCGTTCGACCTGGAGAAACTCATGCTGTCCAAGCTCAAGACGGAATGTGGCAGCTCCTTTACGAACAAGGTGAGAGCTGGCTCTGCTGTGTACCGGTTTATAACCGGTTACTGACTTCTACTGGTTTGTTTCATAGCTCGAGGGAATGTTCAAGGACATCGATCTGTCTCAAAACGTGATGACACAGTTCCAACAACACGCAGCTAGCAGGTTAGTCCCCGTTGCGTGTAAAATATCATGACAAACGCCATTTAATTGCTGTGTTTTACATGTAGAAACGCATTGGAGGCTTTGCACGGGAACCGCGGCGTTCCGGACATGCAGGTTCAGGTTCTGACGACTGGATTCTGGCCTCCATATGCTGCTGTTGAGATCAACCTGCCGGCTGCGTTGCTGCCTCTGAAGGAGATTTTTGACAAGTTTTACTCGTCTAAGTATCAAGGTCGACAGCTGCAGTGGCAACACTCTTTGGCTCAATGTGTGGTCAAGGCGACGTTCCCCTCGGGCAAGAAAGAACTTGTGGTGTCGCTGTATCAGACTGTGGTGTTGCTGTGCTTTAATGGAGCGGACTCGCTGGGCTTTAAGGAGATTAAGGAGCAAGCACGTATCGAAGATGGAGAGCTGAGACGGACGCTGCAGTCTCTGGCGTGTGGGAAGACGCGTGTGCTGCAGAAACAACCGAAGGGGAGGGAGATCAACGATGATGACACGTTCGAATTCAACTCGAAGTTCGCGAACCAGCTGATTCGCATCAAGATTAACTCGATCCAGATGAAGGAGACCAAGAAGGAGAACGAAGACACCCACGAGCGCGTGTTCAGAGACCGTCAGTACCAAGTGGATGCTGCTATTGTGCGCATCATGAAGGCGCGGAAGAAGTTGTCGCACGCGCTGCTGATGACGGAGATCTTCACGCAGGTTCGGTTCCCTGCCAAGGCTGCAGATATCAAGCGTCGTATCGAGAGCCTCATCGACAGAGAGTATCTCGAGCGAGACTCGAGCAACGCCCAGATGTACAACTATTTAGCGTGAGCCCAGTTGGAGGAGAGCGTAGCAGATAAATTGTAAGTTGGGACATAAAAACACTTTAGTGGCTACAGTACATGTACTTCCATGAAGTTTGGCCAATTTTCTGCTTTTACTATTTAAAACTACTACATGTACTTGTATTATGTAGTAGTAGTACTCAAATGAATTTTACTTTATTGCTTTTACTGGAAGTACTTCATGTATCCGGTAGTAAAACGTAGAAAAAAAAACAGTCTTCTGTAGTTCTGTGGATACTCACAGTTAAAAATATGGTTCGTCCTCGCCAGGACCGACACCCAATTTGGGAATGGTTTGTTCTCGCTTGGTCTTGCGAGGTTGGACGCAGTGTTGTTCCTCCGACCAATCTCCAAAATGCCCCCCAGCAAGGACATTAAAGCATCGGCCACACGACCGGCCAAGTTTTCCAAGGCGAAAGTGACATCAAAAACCAAAACAAAGGCCAAAGCCAAGATCAGGGAACCCGAAAAAATAATATGCGTAAAAATTAATCTCAATTTTTTAATTTAATTATTAGTTTATGGCTGCCAGCAACGGGAACGACCCCAATTTTGAGTAATCCTCTAGTCAAGTTACAGCGTGGGGACGCGCTGAACGTCGCGGAAAAATTAGCCTGCGCTGAATTTAGGTCGCCTGATCTCGAACGGTCGTTACTTTTAATTTAGTTTGAATTTGAATCATAAATTTTATTAATGAAATGATGAGAGCAGGACTTGAACCTACATCTTCAGATTATGAGCCTGATAAGTTACCTATTACTCTATCTCATCTTATTACCCATATGTCTCCAGCCAGGCTCCAGATGATAATGTTTCTGAACTACAATCGTGACTTACGAAGTTTTGCAAATAATTGAATTATTAATTTTCTCAGCTCACATCGATGTATTAATCTATTAATAAGTACTGCATTTTCGGGTTCCCTGTCCAAGATCAAGCTCAAAGCCAAGGTTTCTCCGACGAAGGTCAAATGCGCGGCCTCCAGCTACACCCAAAACTACCGATACACCAAAGCCCACATTGTGACAAGACACAGAGCTGCGGCGTCCAAAAGCTCTACTTCTGAAGATCTCGTGACGATCTACGTGTTGGCGCTGACTAAGGGCAAGTATTACGTCGGTAAGACAGCACGCACGAACGTCGATGAGAGACTAGAAGAGCACAAGAAGGGCAAGGGCTCAGCTTGGACGCGACTCCATCGACCCCTTCGAATTGTCGAAATCATCCGAGATGCGGATCCTTTCGACGAGGACAAGTTTACCAAGAAGTGTATGCTCAAGTACGGCGTCGAGAACGTTCGTGGAGGCAGCTACTCGCGCGTGGATTTGACTCGAAGTGAGCTTGACGCAGTGTCGCAACAGCTGCGTGGCAGCACCGACCAGCAGGCATTCCGAAATAATCATTGTATTGCTGCTTCAATACAATAGTTTACACTTAATTATTGATTTTTACAAATTGGATGACTTTTTCCAATTAGTTATTTTGTATTTACAACAAAGTACTTTATTTTTTCGTAAAATCTAGTTTTTTCTGCTTTGTTTTGCGTAAATACAGAATCGAATGGCTGTTAAAACGCGAAAACCTGAGGCGCTCGTCTATCATTTTTGATCTCACCATGGCTCTCGCCAACACCTTCACGACCAAGCAAGTCTGCAGCTACTTTTTTACTGCCAGCTTGGCGACTTCCAGTCGGCCACCATGAAGCTTCAAGACGACAACGTAACGCTTCTCGATGTGCGCGATATCTTTGATGCGCTCATCGAGAAGCATTCCGTTGTGAAAAAGTATCTTGCTGCCGACGCAAATATTGTTAAGGACGTGGACTTCAAGCGAGCGTGCGTTGTAGCCCTGTCAGGCGCCGTGGACGAGCTGACGAACGACCAGGAGCTGATGTTGCAGCCATTTGAGACGATACCCGCAATTACGACACCGGACACCAGGCACGGACGCCCACAGGGCTTTGCCGACAGAGTCTTGGCGACTAGAAAAATGCGGCGCGGTGCAAAGAAGGTATTTGATGGTGTGCTTATCATCCCGCCGACGTCAAACACCGTGGAGCGTCTTTTTAGTGTGGCGAAACATACTCTTTCCCACCATCGCCAGCGTATGCTGCCTATTCACCTTGAAACCGTGTTGTTCCTGAAGATGAATCGGCGTTTCTGGGACGCAAACACTGTAGCAGCTATCGTGAACGCAAAGTAATGTGCAGTGCTGTACATCTAAGTAGTTAATTTTCCTATACTATTGATGTCAATTACTACTATTATTTATTTCTTAAGTTGTAGTTTTTGTAGCAATAGCTTATTTTGGCATGGACCTTCAATATGATTGCAATTGTATTATCGGAATGCCTGCCGACCAGTGCTTCGTGTGCGGAAGTAAGAGCCACTTTGCCGCGCAGTGTCCAGCCAAGAAAGCTGGTGTTGTAGTCGAGGACGATGCCGAGGCGGCGCTCGAGTGTCTGCGCTGCGGTCGTGACAGCCACACGGCCGAGTCGTGCTACGCTAAAAGCCACGCCAACGGGGCAAACTAGTGTCTGCGGTGTGGCCGTGAGGGCCATGAAGAAACGTCGTGTTACGCCAGGACCCACGCCGTATTGGGTGAGATCATCGAGCTAGGCGACGAGATGTCGGTCAGTGAAGGAGAGGACAAAGACTCGATCAGTGACGACGGTGGAGAGAACGAGAAGACACTGGAATGTCTTCGCTGTGGGCGAGGCGGCCACTCAGCCGACTCGTGTTACGCAAAAAACCACGCGAATGTGAAATGTGGTGCCTCCGTTGTGGTCGTGAAGGTCATGTTCACAAAACGTGCTACGCAAAGACCCACGCAACATTGGGTTCGCTACCACGGTCGTAACGGGTAGGGCGAAATACTTGTGAGTCCGTGATCGATTGAAAGTTTTATATGAATACAGTAGATGGATAAAATATCCTTTCGTAGCCAGGGATGCCGAAAATAAATTGGTGCCGCAGCTATTGCAATAAGAAAGCACCAATTATTTATTGGAGGAGGAAGACCAGTTATTTATTTTCGCTCCCGTTGTAGCACCAATAATCTTTTGGGCGGTGTTTAATCGGCCTTACATTCTTTGATACTTGTGCCCTCGCTGTGTACCAATATTGCTGCACCAATAATCTATTTTCGGAGTTGAGGAAGTTCAATAATCTATTTTGGTCTAGTCAGTTCTCTAACCCAATTATTTATTTTCCGCTTTGATTAGCAATAGATAAAAATGCAATATTCGGCTTCTATAGTTATCACGCACATAAACTTGTGACAACCCATCCACGAGTGCTACATGTACGTAAATGTATTTCTGTGCAAGGGCCTTAGCTTTGGGAGCGCTTGATCTGAAAATGACAGGAAGCGTCTCCATGATTGGAAAATTGTAGCTCGGTTGGGGTTCTTTGGTTGCATTGCTTTAATTTAGTGCTGTTAAATCATCCATCGACTCATCTTCGTCATCCTCTTCGGATTCGTCGTCGCGAAGACGGTATTGTAATAGTACAGGATATATTGCTCCAAGCGCTCGTTCTCCATCGGCGGAAGACTACCACATTCAAGCACACAGTAACCATCCGTAAGTGATGCAAAGAACACAATGCAACAAGCGTCTCTGCTGTCGCACCTCACACCCAGTAATTACGAGTTTTCCCGAAATGAAGATTAACAAGGTGCACTTGGGGCGCAGCATGCGATAGATAAGTCCTGGGAACAGCTCCGGTTCGTACTGTTTTCAAGCAAACGTGGAAGATTATCAGAGGATCAGCACACTTAGCAAAAAATGCTACAATGGGCTTACCGTGCTAAAGCGCAGATGGTCTCGCGCCAGGCCTTCCAAACGAACTCTAAAGCACACATCCGCCGATCCCACCACGTTGCGAATGGTGAACGGACTGTTATCACTTGGGAACGACACTTTCTGCAGCACAAACATATCAGAAAAGTAAGAATTGAAAAGAAGAGCAGGTAGTTAGATACCTTCAAAATTGAGACAAGCTTCTCTGCAGCCAGCTTGGCGTCTGCTACGCTCGTGGCACCGATCACTACAAACTGCAAAACTGATCAACACTCAGTTTAAAGCTCTAGATATAGCACGTACGTACCTTTCCGCTCCTGTACAGCAGCACTGTGGCCCGAGGCGCCTGGAAGCGCATTACCAGCGCACTGAAACCCTGTCATAGTAATATTATGCTCTGTTTAGCCACAATAACAGTATATATGATGAGATTAATGCTGGTTACTCGAGGTGCGTAGTCGGCATTGCGCACGAGCAGCGCGAGTTTCTTGATGTCGACGCGGTCGTTGACAAAACCGCTACCGAGAACGTTTCTACGCGTAGATAAGACAGCACAGAGGTAAGGTAAAACAGCTATGAGTTAGAGAATAGCACTGGGTTTACGTACACGACGCGGTAGGCCACACCTTCCTCTGCGAGCTGCGCACGAGACCACGCCGTGTCGTCGTCCTCGTCGCCGCTGCTGCTCCAATTGCTGACGCTCATGGCGGGATAATTAAATTAGGAAATTTCATTGGCTGTCACTAAAACCATGTTTCAGTAGGCGAAAAAGTTTGTTGATGCTAACGAGCTGATGAAAATCCTCTCTGGGCTTTTAAATTAAAATTAAAAGTTTTAATGATGCAAGGTTCGGAAATTCTGCCTTAATTGGAGTCGCGAGGCAGAAAAAGAAGTAGCAAGCTGATCCCGTAACCATCGACGACAAACACAGCAGCCACGATGGCAACCAGAACGTTTCCAAACATTCGTGTCATAACATAGCACATGCGCGCTGATATTGGTGCGCCACCATGCACCGAATGCGTGTCGCGCTGTCAAACAGCTAGAAACGCGAGAGCGTATTTACAAGATTTGCATGGTGTGTGAGCTGGGCTCAGTTCTGCTTTGCGAAGGACTGTCATTAGCAAACTTCCTCGCTCCAGCCCAGCTACCGATCGACGCCTCACTGCCAACATCGTCACCAACCCTTCCACTTTAAATCCATGCAAACCGCCCTCATCCTTGTCGCCAAGCAGACTGCGCTCGCGCTAGCACCGCGCGTTATGTCCATGACCCCAGCTCTTCAGGTCGCCGTCAAGAGCACGCAGCGTACACTAACCACGCAAGCGCAGGAGAACCGACGCCCCGTTCTTTTCCGGTACGGCCTTGGTAATTAAAAAACGACAAACTTGTATTGGATCTGTCTAACTCTATCCTGTAGTAAGGACGACGAGAAGGAAATGCGCAAGCTGTTGCGAAAGTTGCATCTGCAGGCATGCTACAATGACAAGACCGGTTTCCGCAACCAGGTCGAGCACGATAAGCAAACCCTCGGCGAGATACCGGGTCTCGTGCCTGGAGTGGACCTGACGCAGGAGCAAGTGGATGCACTTCTGAACTGGAAGCACCTGCACTAAGGTGACGAGGACTCATGACCTTCGCGAAGGACGGGGGAAGACTGGTGTTCTCTAGCTCTTGACTTTGCAAGGAGTCACGTCAGCTTCAGCGCCTCAGTCATCGCCTGCCTTCCCAAACTCCGATCGGGTTCACCTTCGGCCCCGAGCGGCAGCGTTGTAGTTCCAGGGCCTCGCCTGCACGTACGTGTCCACACATCTCCGCTCTCCTCGCGACGCGGACCCCAACGACGATGCTTTACGTCTGGTAGCAGCATCCTACAACTGATTTTGGCAGTGACCCATCATCTTGTAGCTTTTTTCGATCTAGCTGATCGACTCGGAAATCAATAGATTTTCAGCATGACCGCGAAAGTGGCATTATTCCTGTCCGTCTAGATGTAGTGATTGACACGCTCAACGTGGCATCCGTACTGCACGACTATGCGTGCAGCCCTAAGAAAGATCGTTGACCACTCATGGCGCTGCAGCGTTTTTTGCTGGTGCCAAGTGTTATCACCGTGATGTAATTTACTGGGATGTCTTTGCTAAAGTTCACTTATTTATTCAGCAGCGATTTGGGCCACAACGCGGAGCGCAGCGTTCAAGGCATGAACAAACAGTACGAAGCTGTAGCCTATCACAAGAGCATCAAAAAGTCTTACCAGCATCCGAGCCAGCTCAGGTCAACAGGCGAGAAGAAAATCTGAATGACGCACAAGGGTACTTGAAGTTGCGCGTAAAAAGTTGGCCGTCATTTTTACTGCGACACTTTGCACCGACTAGACCTTTATTTCCGAAACACATCCGGTGCAATACCGGAATTTACGTGTTTTCTGCAGCCGTGTAAAAAGTACCTTTCAAGTCAAAACCGTAAGAAGTTTTACCGTTCTTACTAAGAACGGCGGAAGGCGTAAAATCTCGCACAAGACATTTGAAACCGTCGCTTTGCTCACAATATTGTAAGCAATAGCGCGCTTTAACTGGGACACTGATTTGATGCCAAACTGGTCAATTCTGTTGGTGCTGCAGACTTTTTACGGGCCACTGGTTGCACAAAATTGATCGGTTGCAAAAATACCGTTAATTCCGGTACATCAAATCAGGAAATTGAAAGCTGTCCCGCAGCAATCGCCCCAGCGTTTTTACGTAAAAAGATGTCTACTTGAAGCGTGCGGCGGCTCGTGTCTTTGCAGCTTGCGGCTCCAAAGGGGGAACCATAAACCGCCAGTACAGAACATCAAAAGAACTTCACCATGCTTGCCATCCGTCGTGCTGCTGCTGCCGTTCCCAAGCGCGCCTTCGCGTCGCCCGCCCAGGCCATGGGCTTCAGTGATATTAAGGACAAGGAAAAAGCCGCTGAAGCTGTCTTCTTCAAGTACGTCCTTACAAATGGCAAGTATAATTTGAAGATTAGATCTGGAGATCCTAACTTTTTGTGATTTGTTTACTGCAGCAAGCAGGACGAGAAGGCGCTGCGCAAGCTGTTGCAAAAGATGAAGGGTCAGACTGACGTCGCGGATAAGGAAGGCTCCAAGCACCACGTTGAGCACGACAGGAAGGGCCTGAAGAGCATCCCTGGCCTCAATTTGAACGAGGAACAGGTCAACGCGCTGCTCAAGTGGAAGCACCAGCAGTAGGTCGCTGGACAGGCCGCTGCCCCCATTTGTCGTCCTCGTGTCCTCTCGTCAGGCTTAAAAAAACCACCGATCTCTTTATCATTTCGACTCCAACTCGAAAACTGTAAAGCAGTCACAACAGCAACAGGAACAATCATCCAACGGTTCAACCTGTTGGTCTCGTCGACTCGCGCTTTTGTATCTTGTGCTTAGCTGCACGATCTACAACATATATTAGGGATGGGGTTACTACGAGAAGAAACGAGCGAAAGAACAGGACGGTGATAAACAGAAGCAGCAGCCGCGAACAAAGCATACGACACTACAGCATACCCCAACAAAACAATAAGAAAAACTAATTAACCGATCTGACCTCGATCCGCAGAGAGCTGTCGTGTACCCGTGTGTATTGTAACTACCGTAAGGTTTAACCCCCATTTATTGCGACCGGCCTCGACGTAGTATTTGAAGCTTGTCGCCCTGCCACTGCTGTTTTTTCGGTGTCAATAGCTGGCCGTGACCACTCCAGATTGTAAGAATGTCGATGATTTAGCTTGATAAATGAACGCGCTCAACACGACTCGAAGTTTGTAATCTCAGCCTTGACCTTGTCAAGCTCCGAAGCGATCTCGGTACGCTGCTGACGCGCGGTCTCAAGCATTTGCTTGAAGCGATTCTGACATAGGGATGGCAAGGTAAGTGAGTACACATGAGCAAATATAAAAAAGCAGTGCACAAAGAGCTTTACCTTGACGATAATGTTGGAGTTGGCGTCAACCTTGGCATTGAGGTCGCTAATGTCACGATCAGCATCACGCACAGACTTCTGAAGCCGATCGCGAATGGGTAGCAGTTTGAGGTATTCCGGATCAGTCAAGTACGCCTTCTGGCGAGGCGGAGACGCCGGTTTAGTGTCCATTCCGTCGAGGATGTCGTCCTCCAGCATGTCCACTTCTTTGTCTTCGTCGTTGTCCCGACTAGCTTGCGAGTTCAGCTGCATGGGAGACAGTCTGGGACTTGGTGTGGGTGCGAACGTAGGTGAACGCTGGACTGATGCTCGTCCGTCCGTCTGGGACTCAGCCTCAGAGCCTGCGTCTGTGGCAAGTGGCGTATTCATGATCGACGCATTGGCTGTACCTGGCACGGTGCTGCTTCCAGCACTCGGTGGTAATAATTTCTGCTTCTTTGTAGACGGCTCTTCCGACAGAGTCAAGTACTCGGGGTGCTCGCGAATGAGCTCCATCTCGTCCGTCACAGTAATTCCACCAGGATGCTCCTCGTCTGTCATCCAGTCGTAAAAATCCACCAGCTCCTCATGAACGTCTTCAACAACACCGCCAGCGATAATTTTGACTAAATCTTCTTCTACCCGAGACACATCAGGTTTCTAGCAACAACAAAAAACAACTTTTTAAGTCGCCAAAGATCACAACGAAAAAACGTTGCTGATCCTTTCAAACATACCGGAAACGGTGTGGTCTTCTTGGTTTTCTCGTACTTGCGCTTGACGACGTTGGTGTTTGGGGGTGTTACTCCGTTCGGCACTTCCTCTCGCATCTCCAGCAGCTTTTTCTCTTCCTCTTTATCCGTCACCACGAAGATCTACGGAATTGGCAGACATTGGCATATTATTCCATAGCATTCGTCAATTCGCGCTACTAAGGCCGCCATAACTTCTGTAAAAGCTTCGCACCTGTCCTATTTCGCCGCTTTTGTAGAAAAAGTTATCGTCGTAAGTCTTGTGCGTCTCCAAAATTGTCGGCAATTGCGCTGCAAGTCCGCAAGTTCAGCAGCTCACAACTATCTCAGCCTGTTGGTTGCTTATTGCAGCTAATAACGCACCGATTTTTGCAGGATACTTCTTGCCATTCACATGCAGCGTAAAGTGTTTGTTATCCGCTGGAAAAATACATCGAAACAGGGCCGCAATTTATCAAACCCCGAAAACTTCCGACTTATTTCCCCGCTTCTACCGTGTAAAAACGCCCAAGAACAGCGAGCACGCACCTCCTGCCACCATGTCCACGTCCGCCGAGTCGCCATTCGCGATACCTTCGCGCACCTCCTGCGCCAGGCGCTTCGGAAGCTGCAGAAGGTATTGTTCCATCTTGCTCTACACAATCGAAGGGTTACGCAGAGTACCTCGCTGCCACCCTGTGTGCACCACATAACTTGTCTCCAGAGTAAACAAAACCACCACTCTGCTTAATGTGTGTTCACTCACACCAATAAAAAACGACCCTTTACCTTGGTCACTTCCGCAGTCGCCTTCAAGCCCGCACTCAAAGTGATGGCTGGCAAGCTTCAGGTGACGAAGGCGCAAGCGGTGGCGGACGATGAGAAGCGTCCTCTTCTCAAGGACATACATGTGTCTGTGAATCGCCACGATCCTTCTTCTAGCGCGCTCTCGGGCCTGGGCGACCGGTACCCGTCTCAGGATGCAACTTGCATCTCCTCGGCTCTCTTCTCGTGGGTGACGCCGCTCATGGAACTGGGCAACCAGCGTCCGTTAGAGCACGACGATTTGTATCTTCTAGACCCAGCCAACCGTGCGCACGAGGTGTCTACAGATTTCCAGGAGGCCTGGAAGAAGCAGTGCAGCAAACCCGGCAGCAAACCCAGTCTAACCTGGACTCTGGCATCTTGTTTCGGTGCGCAGATCGCCAAGGCTGGTCTGCTAAAGCTGATCCATGACTCTCTACAATTCGTAGGGCCTATGTTGATCAAAGAGATCATTGCCTATCTTCAGAACCCAGACGCTCCTCTGAGTGAAGGTCTTGTCTATGCAGGCATTGTGTTTGTGTCGGGCGTGATGCAATCATTCCTGTTGAGAAACTACTTCTTCCATTGCTTTGAGGCAGGTATGAGAGTGAGGTCCGCTGTGTGCACTGCAGTGTACACCAAGAGCTTGGTGTTGTCTGCTGCGGCGAGACAGAAGAAGACGACGGGAGAGATCACGAATCTCATGAGCATCGATGCCCAGAGACTACAGGAGCTCTCGACGTATATCAACAGCGTGTGGTTCTCCATTTTCCAGATTGTGGTGGCCTGTTATTTGCTGTGGAAGCAGATCGGCCCCGCCACGTTCGCTGGTGTGGCTGTGATCATCTTGATGCTACCAGTCACTGCGGGGATTTCGAAGCTGATGCGACGATTGCAGCTGAAGCTTATGGAGGTGAAGGATGAACGGATCAAGATTTGCAACGAAGTGTTAGCTGGCATGAAGGTGATCAAGTTGCAAGCGTGGGAGCACTCGTTCACCAAGCGCGTGCTGGAGTACCGAAGCGAGGAGCTCAGTAAGCTGCGTACGTACATTTACGCGCGTAGTGGATCCATGACGCTCTTCTCGGCGATACCGTCGCTTGTTACAGTGGCAAGTTTTTACACCTTTGTTAAGCTGGGCAACACGCTGGATGTGGGCACTGCGCTGACGTCGCTGGCGCTGTTTAATATTCTCCGTTTCCCACTGTTCATGCTGCCACAAGTGCTGAACTCGATTGTCGAGGCTAGTGTGAGTATTGACCGCTTGAGATCGTACTTCCAGGAAGAGGAACGAGAACAGGTGGGGCCTGGAGATCTCGACGGCGTGGGTGTTCGTGTGAACAACGCTGATTTCATGTGGGACACAGCACCAAAGACGTCGCCAACTTCAGACGCTTCGACAGTATCGAAGGAAGAGGACAGCTTGTTGCAGGAGGACTCGATCTTGGACAAGGAAGCCTTGGGAGGGGACAGTCTGCCTGTTCTGCAGAGTGTATCGTTGGAAGCTCGTCCCGGTGACCTGATTGCTGTGGTTGGTCACGTGGGTGCCGGTAAATCAACGCTTCTTAGTGGAATTCTGGGCGATGCCCGATGCAGTCGCGGTGACGTGAGTCTACGGGGATCTGTGGCCTATGTTTCGCAGCAGCCGTTCATTCAGAACGCTACTGTTCGTGAGAACATTTGCTTTGGCCTCCCGTTTAACGAGGCGAAGTATGCCGAGGCGCTACGTGTTAGCTCTATGCAGAAGGATCTGACTGTGCTGCCAGGAGGGGATATGACGGAGATTGGCGAGAAGGGTATTAACCTCAGTGGCGGACAGCGCACTCGTGTGGCTCTCGCTCGCGCTGTGTACCAGGATGCCGATATCTATCTGTTGGACGACATTTTGTCTGCTGTTGACAGCCACGTTGGCCACGACATCTTCAAGGAATGCATCAAGACTTGCCTCAAGGACAAACTTGTGGTGCTTGTTACGCATGGCTTGACGTTTCTGAGCGAGTGTGGCAAGATTGTGGTGCTGGAAAACGGTGTGATTATGGAGAATGGCTCCTACGAAGACCTGATGGAGAAGGATGGTGGCCTTCTCATGGATCTTGTGGCGAAGTACAAAGACCAAGACGCACAGCAAGATTCTCCCACGATTGAAGATGAAATCTCGGTGGATGAGTTGGAAGAGGATGAAGAAGACAACCCGACGCCTGAACGTCTTGCTCGGAGAATGAGTCGCTCGTCTGTGCGCAGTGAGCGTTCGCTGAGTGAAGCAGGTATGGAAGCGCAGCTGATGACCGACGAGGATCGATCTGTGGGCGACGTGGCGTGGCAAGTTTACAAGACCTGGATCATGGCGTTCGGCGGTATTTTCGCTGGTCTCGTCGTGATAGTCATCTTCATCGCCACTCAGTTTGTTAACCTGCTGTCGACATGGTGGCTTTCGTTCTGGTCGGAGCACTCTCAACCTAAGGACGGCCCTGCCGACAAGGAGTCAGAGATGTTTTACGTGTACATCTACATGGCTCTTAATCTGGTATACGCTGTGGCTCTGTACATCCGTGCTATTACGACCTACAAGGGCGGTTTGCGTGCGAGTAAGTCGCTGTTCCAGAACCTTCTTGCTCGCATTCTACGTGCCCCTACTTCGTTCTTTGACACGACGCCTACCGGTCGTATCGTCAACCGTTTGTCCAAGGACGTGTACACCGTTGACGAGAGCATTCCTGCCACTTGGAGTATGCTCCTCAATACGTTTATCAGTGTGTTGGTGACGCTCGCGACTATCTCGTATGTGACGCCGATCTTCATGGTCATTCTGTTGCCTGTACTGGTGGGGTACTACATTTCACAGCGATACTTCATCAAGTCGTCGCGTGAACTGCAGCGTTTGGATTCTATCAGCCGTTCTCCCGTGTTTGCTTTGCTGTCCGAGACGTTGGACGGCTTGCCGACGATTCGTGCCTACCGTGCGGAGACCCAATTTTCGACGAAGAATGAGGAGTTGATCGACCGAAACCAGCGCGCTTACTTTCTTAACTTTGCAGTCAATTGCTGGCTAGCGCTTCGTCTCGAATTCGCAGGTACGCTTATTGCAGCCTTTGCTGCTTTAACTGCCGTGTTGGCGCACAGTTCAGATCCAGAACGCGGAGCAGCTTTCGCTGGTCTTGCAGGCGTCTCTCTTACGTACGCGTTTAGCGTCACCCAGTCGCTTAACTGGTCTGTTCGGATGCTCAGTCAGCTTCAGACGCAGATGGTTTCAGTCGAGCGTATCAAGAACTACACCGTCATGGACGTGGAAGCAGAGCTCACTAGTGTGGGTAAGCTTCCTCCGGCTCAAGAGTGGCCTTCAGCTGGAGCTATCGAGTTCCGCAATGTCAATCTGCGATACCGTCCCGGTTTGCCGCGTGTATTGCGTAACTTATCGCTCTCGATCCGCCCTCAGGAGAAGATTGGAATTGTGGGTCGCACAGGTGCTGGCAAGTCGAGCCTCGTTGTGGCTCTTATGCGTCTGGTGGAGTTGGACAGCGGCTCTATTGTCATTGACGGGCTGGATATCAGCACCATCGGACTGCACGAGCTACGCAACAAAATCTCCATCATCCCGCAGGACCCCGTACTCTTCTCAGGAACGGTGCGCAGCAACGTTGATCCGTTTGACCAGTACACGGACGAGCAGATCTGGACGTCACTACGTCGAGCTCACCTCGCGCATGTGGTGTCGGCGCTGGATGGCCCTGTGGATGAGAAGGGCTCGAATTTCAGCGTGGGTGAACGGCAACTACTGTGTATTGCTCGAGCGTTGCTCAAGCGCTCCCGTATCATCCTCATGGACGAAGCCACCGCGTCCATCGACACGGAGACAGATCGTAAGATCCAACGCAGCATCCGCGAGGAGTTCCGGGACTGCACTTGCCTCACGATCGCGCACCGTATCAATACGATCCTCGACGCAGACCGCATCTTGGTTATGGAGCGTGGGGCAGTTGGAGAATTCGATACTCCCAAGGCGCTACAGAAGAAGCAGGACGGCTTGTTCAAGGCACTTGTGGAGCACTGGAAGAACGAAGGTAAGTAAGCCTCAACATGCATTCTACACGCTTGGAAGTGTCCTACGAGGGGTGCCGTGGACATTTATAAATGCAAAACAATACATGATTCGATGATTCCTTTCGGGCGGATATTTTGAGCTAATCTGTTACAGAACACGTGAAGCTGAAGACTCAAGGACGTTATGACTGTGAACACTGAAGACGAGGAATGTGATGCTGGACAAGACGTGTGCTCAGATGTGAATGAAGCAGTTTATCTCCTGACCATGAGAGATCCTGTAGTGTTTGACCATGCAACGTTGAAGTGGAAGTGTGCCATTCCTACTAAGACGAGGATTGAAACGCGTTTTGGCAAGGTACGTTAAGGCAATTGCTCCATATTTGAGCTAGCTGATTGTTAACGGAGTGGAAAGGTTGTTTGCTTGGTAGTTCGCAGCCACGATGGAGCTTTAGTCTGCTCGCACCCGTCCGGCACAGCCTACTTAACGGTTGGCTGAGCTTAATCGTTCTGTGGAGAGCTGCGAGCTAACTTTTTGTCGTGATTCCGCTACAGGGGTTCAACATCGTGGATACTCGTGAGGTATCTAGCTCCACTCCGAAATTTCTAACCTTCGCCAAGTTTTCTAGATGCTCTTGATGAATGGCAGGGTAGTTTTAAGGATTCATCGATGGTGTTGTCCACTGCATATGACAACGCAGCTGAAGGAAGAATATTCGAGTCAAAAACCTCTAAACCAGTCCGAGTTCTAGACCTTCGAGGTAGTCACGTTGATTTGGAGATCGTGACACAACTCAGTCGAGGTCTTGCAACCGATGTGAGCCAACTTCATTGTGTTTGATATTAAAAGCTAAGACTGACGACGTATTTATTGAAGCGCTTTATAACGACGTTGTCGTTGAGTGGAAATCATCTTGAGGATGGCGACATTGCTCTGCTGGCTAGCGCATTGATACACAATGGCTGTTTGGTAGAACTCACACTCAGCTATAATGTCATCGGAGAGATCGGATCAACCGCGTTAGCCAAAGCTTTAGCGACGAACTCGCGTCTTCAAGTGCTTGATTTAATGCACAACCGGATCGGTAAAGACGGCATCACTCCATGGCTAGGGGATACCATGCGCGTCAACTATGCACTCCGCGAACTCAAACTCAGTCATAATGCGATCGGAGACCAGAAAACCGCTGAGCTACTTCAGTCATTAGCACCAAAACCTTTAACGGAGGAAGAAAAACTCAAAGCTTGCCTTGCCAATCGAAGACACACGACAATGCCCCATAAATCGCCAGAGGCTCAAACAGATAGCGAACCGTTCAACTCAACATTGAGATCTTTATTGCTAAGCAACACTGGCATATCGGACGAGGCTTCGACACATCTTGCGCATATGCTGAGCCACACGCGATCTCTGACGCACTTGGACATCTCCTGCAACAATTTCACAAGTGAAGGAAACGTGAATATTGCTCAAGGGATGCAGCGAAATGCAACCTTACGATATCTGAATTATCGTGAGAACAAACTGGATGAAGTAGCAGCTCTTGCAATTCTACGTGCGCTCAAAACTTGTTCCTTTCTGGAGACTGCTCTCTTTCAAGACTGCTTTGGAGGTGAATCGACTGTGGGAAGTGCATTAGGCCAGCTCCTGAGTACTGCAGACTCGCTTGTTTCCCTCGATTTGGTGAGTTTTTTTCCACAGCAATAGTTGTGAACTCCATCTGATCATGCAGTTATACTACAGAGCCACTGCTCTTTAGAACCTCCTGGCGTTGTAGATTTCTACTACGCTCTCGCTGAGAATACCAGTCTTCGTAGTATTGATCTGGTAAGAACACTCGACCAGTAACTTATGTGATTTTTATTCTTTGACTCAGGTTGTCTGGACGTTGTATTAATAGACGTGCTCAGGTCTCAAATCGGACAGCGCCGCAGGAATTCTGGCAAAATCACTTCAACAAAACTCCACGTTGACATTTATCAATCTAGCCTACAACGAAATCACCTTACGAGGGTGCAAAGTACTTCGAGATGGCGTTGCAGGTCGAAGTGAAACGGCAGCTCGACTGGTCATGTCGTTAGAAGGCAACTCGGGTGAAAAATGCCCCACTGGCACCGTTATCACGGGCGGAACGCGACCTGTGAGGCCACAGCTCGTCAACTAGAAATGTCCAGCTGTTGCTGTTGCCGTTGCCTTGATTCAAACAAGTTGATTGGGCCAAGTCCCAAGTTGCATACAATCTACTCGTAATTGAAGTTGACCCACTTTGCTGAACTGATGCGTCCAAATTGGCAAAGAGGTGTGTGTGTGTTTATGCGTTGCAGTTTGCTGGACCTGATTTTATCATTGTGCGTGTACGAATCGTGGGAACAGCGATCGTAATGTACGGAAGCTGGTCGGGGGAGCTGCAATTTGGAACCAGCAAATATAAAACCTTTAGTAACATAACTGTAGCTTGCAGCATTTGCAGCTCTTGTATAAGTGCGGGGAGGGGGGCCAGGCCGGATGTGACAGTCGAACCGACATGCATCGACTGTCGATGCATCGGCAAGCTGTTGATTGCAATTGTGACCAGCACCAGTGGTGCCACCAGTGGTGCCACCACTGGTGCAACCAGCATTAGTTGAAACTTGTTCGAGGGTTGATTGCAAATGTGACCAATACCAGTGGTACACCAGCTTGGTGTACCTAGCTTACCAAGGGCAAATTATTCTTGCTACAACGATGCTGCAATAAGTCGGGAAACCTTCACTCACCGACCCGTTTTCTTCTGCGATGCAATGTGTGCTGGTCCTACTGTACCTTAGAGATCCGGCACCAATTGCACCTTATTAATACAAAGCACTGCAAGCTTACGAATCGTCTTCTCCAGTCCGACGATGCGACACCCGTTAAGCAGTGGAAGGCGTACATGTACAAGGTTGCTAAAAGCGATTTGATATTTGACTTCGCTAATGTACATTTTCGGTAGCCAAGGTTAGCTAATCAGGGATGCCGAAAAATAAATTGGTGCTGCAATTATTGCAATAAGAAAGCACCAATTATTTATTGGAGGCTTTGTAAAGAGGAATTCCAATTATTTATTTTCGCTTCGTTGTAGCACCAATAATCTATTGGGCCAGCCATACATTCTTTAGTACTTATGCCCTCGCTGTGTACCAATATTGCTGCACCAATAATCTATTTTCTGAGTTGAGGAAGCTCAATAATCTATTTCGGTCTTGCCAGCTTGATTAGCAATAGATAAAAATGCAATATTCGGCATCCCTGTAGCTAATGCAAGCTAGATCGGCACGCGCCGCACTCGCACCGTGAAAAGTGGCCACAAGAGAAGTCGTCAAACGCGAGGGCTATCTCCTGAACTTCTTCATCCGAAGTGAGAGATGCCGACGTCGACAAGCGCTCAAAATTGCTGGGAGATAGCGATAGCGAAGACGTTGAAGACGTCGCCGTGGACGAGTGTATAATGGACAAATCTTTGCCCAAGCTGTTGCTAGACACGAACATCGTAAAGACCTTGCTAACATCTTCTCTCATCCTGGAGCAGCCGAGGTTCCCGTGGTTCACTAGAGACGCCTTCACTGTGTTGAGCATACGCAACAATGCAGCTCGAGTGCCCTCCACTCCTGTTGGGCAACCCCTGCAGAACAGCGAGGCTCTAGGAAAGTGGTGTTTGATTACGTTACCCAGCCACCTGCACTCGGAATTGCACCGATGGCCAAGTCGTAGAGCCAACACTAACCTCCGGCGCAGGTCGCGGTATTTGTCGAAACTCCGAGAAATTGTCCATGCCGTGGTCTCATTCTTGGAGGTTTGGTAGATCATGTGCAGTTCGTATTGCACATTGCGCTTGCCCAGTCCGTGCCGGGTGTCGACGGATGAAGACATTTCGAGCGTCAGGTGCTCGAGCCAAGCCACCGATTCGGGTAGAGCCGACGGTGTCGTTGACAGTTGTCGGGCACTTGCGAACATTTCAATTCTTGAAACAGCGCTTCGCCTCGCCGGTTTGGAGTAAATTGAGGAATGACGAAGGTAAGCAGGTAGGCATTTAAGCGATATGCGGAGCTGCACCCCACACTTACGCGTCAATCCCGTGCGTTGAGCTTCGTGCTCATAATCCGGAGGACATAGAGTGTAGATGATCTGGTCCACCCAACTTCGATTGCCTGCACGATTGCGCGCGCGTCAGCAGGAGCGTCATTGTTGGGCAAACAATGTTGGCATCAGCTTGGCGTTTTTATGCTTTTCCGGTAGAACGTGGAACTTCGATTCGTCTGCGATTTGCTTTCGAGCAAATTTTCTGCCAGCGAGAGTCTCGAGCTTGACTCGCGTCCAAACATAAGCTCGGGAAAACGCAGCAGTACAATCAACGTGTACCTCGCCGTCACCGTGAGACTCTGGCGTACGATGTGTACGGTACAGTACATGTACGTTTGCCCACCGATACTCGCGAATTTTTCCACCGAAGTTTGACTGTCACGATGCGGTTTAAGCTAAACATTAACGACGTTTCTCATTTCCTACAACTTAACATCCGTATTGGAAGCGTTATGACTCACCGCTAATGATTAAACAGGTAGGGAAAAGATTGGAATTACAGTACAGTACTCAAAACATTGCAGTCCAGGTATTTATGTTGTACTTCTTTGTTGCGGCAAGCGCACACTCAACTCGAATTATACAAGTGCTGTTCCGGTACTTTATTACACTGTACGAATATCAAGCGCTCCCTTTTGCCTTAAAAGCACAAGCATGAAGCTTGTTCATCTGCAAATTTGTTCTTCAGGTTGACTCCACAGAGGACACTGGATTGGCCTGAGAATGTAGCAAGTACAAATACACAAACTTGGCTGTAGCTACATGTAATACCGTATAACGATTGCCATATCCTGCAAATTACCATCACCGGGAACCACCTCGCCGCAATCTGGCTGAAGTCGGGTCTTCTGTATATCTATTGGTTAAAACAAGTAATTTATCTCGAGAGCCTCAAAAATCCTTCGAACGTCTAGCAACCAAACAAACAAAATGGCAGCGGAGTCCCGCATGAACGTCTTAATGGAGGGGTCCATTCATCAGACCTTCGTACAGACTGCATAAATTCGGTCTGTGAATACTGTGAGGGCATACACGATCAAGCAGGCCGAGTACATACAAGATCAAGCAGGCCGAGTACAAGCAGTGGTGTGATGACAAGGGCGACGCATTCCGTGATCTCACAAAATACATTGTTACCGGCGCTAAACTGGACCTGTGTCCGAAAGAAACGGTAATTGGACGTGCCAAGCGCAACAACCGTCGGAAAGAGGATAATGTTCAGGAGCAGCAAGCTTCCGGTGAGGGGGAAATCCAGTCCGCAAGGGCCGAAATGATAGGAAAAGCGGTTGTGAACGGCTATATAGCGGCAATAGTGGACTTATGGCAAGCAACAGCAGAAGCGCTCTGGGGTCAATAGCCATCCGTCTCCGCGTGACGACGCAGTCACAGCACTAGTGAAGATGGTGCAATTTAATGAAGGAGATCGCAAGCGCAAAAAAAATGCCGATAGGGAGTCGACACTTTGTTAGACGGATACATGTACACAACCATCGATAAAATTCAGAGCATTGCATCATACCTTTGGATTGTGAGACGAGACCATGGTACCTATTTGCGGAACCTACTTGCATTTTTCTCTCTCGTTATGCTCTTATACGAGGAAAGCCAGCCAGAAAAATGGAACTGGCAGATCTGCACACCGTTAGGCTCGAAAACGAAGGCTATTGTCCATGCCGTGCATTGGTCTTGGTGATGAAACAAACCAATTTGGGCACATTGAAGTCGGTGCGAGCATGCGAAATAAGAGCGTGAGAATATGTCCACATGGGCTCTTTGGGCTTTATCTGTTTTGGAGCTGGCATATGGATAACGAGAGTATACCAGACTATTCCACGTCTAAGTCTTGGTACTGCCAGTGAAGAGCTGGCAGCGATATAGGGAGGGTGATTGCGTGGATGACACTGCTGACAGCGGAAGCGAAGGCGAAACTGAGTTAGTAAACATTGAAAATGATTCTGAAGTTGTTACTACGGATAATGTTGCTGGTCATAACATTGACCGTAACAGCAGAATTAGTGTTACTACTGGAGGTAGAGGTGGTGGTGGTCACGGTAAAAATCAACAAGGCCCTGTTCCGCAGGTACAAATTCCAGCGGATTGAGGCCATTTCAGCGGAATTTTACCATCCAGCGGATCACTCAAAACTCTGCGTGCTCCGAATGCGGATTCGAGAGCAAATCGATTCGAAATCTTCTATCCTCTATCCGCCCGAATTCGGTCAGATAGAGTTTTATTTTAGCGAGTGGACTGACAAAGCCCTGTAATAGCAAATATGATCTGCGTGGAATAGCCTCGCAGACTTTTATACATTGTGCACGTGCTGGGCATTACTGTAAATTGTTCAGTGGTGTAAAACTAGCTACACTACGACCTCACCGTATCTTCCAGCAAGAGTCACAAGGTAGTTCTGCCACATCATCGATGCTATTTCATCTCGAAGCTTCTTCATATCGCTGTCGTCCGTAGCGTCCGTATGTGTGTCCCCTGCGTCTTCTACTTCGTCGCTTACGTTTTCGGTTTCCCTGGTGGACCCGTCTGAGTCTGAACATTCATCGCCATGGCGACGAATGAAGTTGAAAATTGCGAACGCGGCCTGTATTAGACCTATCTGGTCTGCAAGCGCATATGAAGTCATGCGTAGCAGAATTGGAAACTTGAATTTGATAGCTCCGTACGCTCTTTCGATAACGTTTCTCAGCGATGAATGACGCAGATTATACAACTCCTCTTTTGTCTGTGGTTTCTGCTGACCATCGCCGAACTCTTTAAGATGATAACGTGTTCCTCTATAAGGAGTCATTGTGTAGCTGGTTAACGCGTAGCCAGCATCTCCTAAGTAGTATTTACCTACACAGGCCGCATCAATAGGAAAATTATGTAAAGTTTTTTTCATGACAAGTGAGGTTACGTACCTTTCGGGATATGAAAATTGTGACTAACAGCATCTTTTAGTACTCGACCGTCATGTGCAGAACCTTCCCAGCCAGGGAGGATATACACAAATTCCATTGCAAAGTTACACGCCCCAAGCACGTTACTGGAGTGAAAACCTTTTCTGTTTCTGAACCGCGGCGCAATTGAAGCGGGAGGAACCACTGGGATGTGAGTTCCATCTACAGCTCCCAAGCAGTTTTTGAAGTAGGGGAAGAACTTTGCAGATTGCTGAATCTCGACGGGGGTTGTACTGTTGGGGAGACAAACGAATTTATCCCATCGAGCCTTAATTGCTGCTAAACATTGCCGAACAATCCTGCCTATTGTCGCCGGCCCATGTTGAAATCGATCTTGTGCTGCTCGATTACGTTTTCCGGTAAGTATGAACAGGAAAATTAGTAAGCGCTCTCCGCTGTGAATTCTGGACGTTGATGGTAGCAATCGGGTAGTTTCTAATTCACGAAGTAGCAAATGAAAAGTTTGTACACTCATACGAGCGACATTCGAGAAGCGTATCGGACTTCGACTGTTTAACAGCTCCTCGTAGTACATAGCGCCGCTTAGTATCGATGTACAGCAACCCTCTTTTGCAAAATGAGCTCGAATATACGACCAGTACGACGTTAGTCCTGTCATAACGAGCACAATCTGATCTTCTTCTCCGTCATCCGATATGTTGCCTTCCTCATTGGATGCGTCCATAGCACAATTAGGGAATGGTTCGATGAGCATTCTGGATGAAATTGTCGGCATCATAAGCCAATAATAGAATATAAAAACAGGTATTGCACCCACAATAATATCTTTGCGCTAAAACTAAAAATATCCAAACTCTCAACCAAGGTTTCTTTTTGGAGAGTCTGTTTTTTTGGGAGGGCCTACGATTCATTGCTGGACCCGTTTCAGTTGTCGAAAGCCAACACAGCTCCGGCATCATCAGCTTTGTGAGCTATGACATTTGGCTGGACTGAAGACCTTACAGCTCGCTTCATCAACGCTGTCTTAGATGAAGTCGTGCGGCTTGGTGATTCATACAATGGAAACTTCAAGAAAGCGAATTGGAATCGCATTGTCAGAGCATTCAACGACGGGCTATTGACCGGCCAGACACGAGATCGAAAGCAACTGCAGAGCAAGATTGCAGAGCTGAAAAAGAAATACAGGACATACGCTGCAATGAAGGCAAACAGTGGGTTTGGGTGGGACCCCACCACAGGGATGCCTACGGCTCCAGATTCTGTGTGGGACGACTTAATCGCTGTGTACCCTCAAGCAAAAGAATTCAAAAGCAGACCTCTCTTTATGTACCACGAACTGGACATAATTATGTCTCGCACCGCTGCAACCGGTGCATTCGCTGTTTACGATGAGCATATTATAAGCCTTGCACGACCGGCACCGTCGTCTCTGAGTGGACTAAGCAACGACTCCGGCGATGAAGGTTCGACTGACGATAGAAGTGCAGCAGAACGAGAGGCATGCAATGTCGAGCAACAATACAGATCTCAGAACATATCAGGGCTCAATCGCAATATCGATAACGACAGTGGAGGGTCAGAAACAACTGATAGAAGTCGATCCTCTCGCCGTCAAAGTACAGATTACGTGTCAATTGTTGGACCTTCACCTAAACGACTTAAGACCACTGGGGAAAAAATGAGCGATTCGATGAGAGCTATGGCTGACGCGCAGAAGGTGATTGCGGCCTCTATCAGTACTCGACACATCAAAAGCCGACAGCTTACCTGCGCGGACGAAGCAATTAAAATCTTTAAGGATATGTTTACGGACGAAGTCCCAGTTCACCAGCGCTTCAGGTTCATTAAGCTACTAGCAACTCAACCGAACGCGGCAACCATGTTTTATGGGATGGACGACGAAAGCCGCCGATATATGGTAGAGCAGGACCTGCTGACGGACAATTCAGACGCAGATTGAAT